TAAGTTGGGCACATTTTGGCCCATTCCTCCTGACAGAGCTGGTGTAACTGAGTCAGGTTTGTAGGCCTCCTTGCTCGCACACGCTTTTTCAGTTCTGCCCACAAATGTTGTAATGGCCACTCCAATACCTTGACTTTGTTGTCCTTAAGCCATTTTGCCACAACTTTGGGAGTATGCTTGGGGTCATTGTCCATTTAGAAGACCCATTTGCGACCAAGCTTTAACTTCCTGACTGATGTCTTGAGATATCTCCACATAATTTTCCTTCCTCATGATGCCATCTATTTTGTGAAGTGCACCAGTCCCTCCTGCAGCAAAGTACCCCCACAGCATGATGCTGCCACCCCCGTGCTTCACGGTTGGGATGGTGTTCTTCGGCTGGTAAGTCCCCCTTTTTCTTCCAAACATAACGATGGTCATTATGGCCAAACAGTTCTATTTTTGTTTCATCGGACCAGAAGACATTTCTCAAAAAAGTACGATCATTGTCCCCATGTGCAGTTGCAAACCATAGTCTGGCTTTTTTATGGCGGTTTTGGAGCAGTGGCTTCTTCCTTGCTAAGCGGCCTTTCAGGTTATGTCGATATAGGACTCGTTTTACTTTGGATATAGATACGTTTGAACCTGTTTGCTCCAGCATCTTCACAAGGTCCTTTGCTGTTGTTCTGAGATTGATTTGCACTTTTCGCACCAAGTACGTTCAACTCTAGGAGACAGAATGCGTCTCCTTCCTGAGCGGTATGACGGCTGCGTGGTCCCATGGTGTTTATACTTGCGTACTATTGTTTGTACAGATGAACGTGGTACCTTCATGCATTTGGAAATTGCTCCCAAGGATGAACCAGACTTGTGGAGGTCTACACATTTTTTTTCTAAGGTCTTGGCTGATTTCTTTTGATTTTCCCATGATGTCAAGCAAAGAGGCACTGAGTTTGAAGGTAGGCCTTGAAATACATTCACAGGTACACCTCCAATTGACTCAAATGATGTCAATTAGCCTATCAGAAGCTTCTAAAGCCATGACATCATTTTCTGGAATTTTCCAAGCTGTTTAAAGGCACAGTCAACTTAGTGTATGTAAACTTTTGACCAACTGGAATTGTGATACAGTGAATAAGTGAAATAATCTGTCTGTAAACAATTGTTGGAAAAATGATTTGTGTCACGCACAAAGTAGATGTCCTAATCGACTTGTTGATGTGTGTTATCGTCCTCCTAAGCAGAATAATGTCTATGATTTACTTTAACTGAATTGCTGTGATCACAATGTATTTGCTGATAGGGAAAGTATTCTGCTTGGCGATTTTAATACAGATCACCCAAGAAAAGTACACCAGTAAATGCCCTGTATAACTTTAATCAGTTATTTGGATTGTTGAGCCAACCCGGGTGTGTATTGACAGTACATCAATTTTGGATTTGATTATTGTATCAGACCAAGAGAACTTCTGTCAGTCAGGAGTCTTAAATATTGGTTTTAGTGATCATATGGTAACCTGTAAGGGTTGGTCCCAGGTGCGGTGCAGGATAGACAGTAGGCAGAGATGGTGAAACAAGGATCTGGTCCCAAAACCAGGATACAAAATAACGGAGCAAATTGGTCTCCAAAAACAGGCTGACAGCAAACATACGAAATACTAACTATGACTGAAAACAACAATGAAACAGGGAGAACACTTCTCAAGTACCTGAACATCCATCTCGCGACCAGACACTGATTAGTACTGTTTGGCATCAAGAACTAGCAGAGAAAACAGAGCAAGGGAACACAGGGAAGTGAGGGCATAAATACACAGGTGAACAGGTAGACACAGGTGACACCAGTAAGATAATGATTAGTCCAGACTGTGAGTGAGGAGGTGCCTAAGGTTGTCGGAGGATGACACCTAGTGGGTCGCTCCAGAACTGCGACCCCCTCCTGTAACAGTAACCTACTGAAACAATACTCAATACTCAAAGGAACGTTTTGTTGAAGTACTTGGAATTTTGGATTGGTCTCATGTACTAAACTGTGATGATGTTGATCAAGCTTGGTATCTTTTTAAAGATCAGTTTCTGTCTGCACTCGACTCTCAGGCTCCGATTTAAACACATTTTAAAGGACATTGGCTCAAAAACTCCCCATAAGATAAAATCCTGTAGTATTGGCCTGGATATTGATGATGTTTTATGCTATGATCAGGCAAAGGTTCCATTTTTTACCACTATAGCCTCATCTCTGGTTAAGAAATTACCGACCTGCTCTGGACACTTTGGCCAGTCTTTCATTACAAACTTTTACCATAGAAAAGGTATCACAAATTATTGATTTGAGCTGTGCATGGTAACAAAGGACAAAGTTTCCAATCTACTATGCTTAATGAGCACAAACAAAGCAACTGGGCTGGATAACCTTCCTGCAAGATTCATTAAGGATAGTGCTTGTGTCACTGCTAAAATGATAATGCATATTGTAAACCTTTCTATTAGTAGTGGTACATTTCCCAATGATCTCAAAACAGCCTGGTTGTTCTCGAGCACAAACTTCTTTATGAACTCCAATCTGGCTTTAGAACAGCTCATTGCACTGATACTGCCTTATCCACCTTTTTGACTACATCAAGCAGGAAAGTGAGAAGGGAAACTACAGTGAGGGAAAAAAGTATTTGATCCCCTGCTGATTTTGTATGTTTGCTCACTGACAAAGACATGATCAGTCTATAATTTTAATGGTAGGTTTATTTGAACAGTGAGAGACAGAATAACAACAACAAAATCCAGAAAAATGCATGTCAAAAATGTTATGAATTGATTTGCATTTTAATGAGGGAAAAACGTATTTGACCCCTCTGCAAAACATGACTTAGTACTTGGTGGCAAAACCCTTGTTGGAAATCACAGAGGTCAGACGTTTCTTGTAGTTGGCCACCAGGATTGCACACATCTCAGGAGGGATTTTGTCCCACTCCTCTTTGCAGATCTTCTCCAAGTCATTAAGGTTTCGAGGCTGACGTTTGGCAACTCGAACCTTCAGCTCCCTCCACAGCTTTTCTATGGGATTAAGGTCTGGAGACTGGAAGAGCTCGATTTTCACCCAGTTCTCCTCTGAATCATTCAGATGTTCATTGGCAAACTTCAGATGGGCCTGTATGTGCTTTCTTGAGCAGGGGGACTTTGCGGGCGCTGCAGGATTTCAGTCCTTCACGTCGTAGTGTGTTAACAATTGTTTTCTTGGTGACTATGGTCCCAGCTGCCTTGAGATTATTGACAAGATCCTCCCGTGTAGTTCTGGGCTGATTCCTCACCGTTCTCATGATCATTGCAACTCCACGAGGTGAGATCTTGCATGGAGCCCCAGGCCAAGGGAGATAGACAGTTCTTTTGTGTTTCTTCCATTTGCGAATAATCGCACCAACTGTTGTCACCTTCTCACCAAGCTACTTGGTGATGGTCTTGTAGCCCATTCCAGCCTTGTGTAGGTCTACAATCTTGTCCCTGACATCCTTGGAGAGCTCTTTGGTCTTGGCCATGGTGGTTTAGGTTTTATCTGACCAACAGAACACAAGTATGTAATGTTGGTGATGTTCTGTCAGAGGCAAAATAAATATCCTGTGGAGTACTGCAGGGCCTCTCTTATTTCTTATATATGTTTATGATATGCCAGATACAGTAAAGTGTAAACTCCTGCTTTATGCTGATGACTCAGCCATACTGGTATCAGGGAAGGATACAGTTTACATAGAGACACTGAGTAAGGAATTGCATTTTGTTAGAGATTGGTTGACTGACAAAAAATTGTGAAACATTTCGGAAAAACTGAATCGATTTTGTTTGGAACAAAAACATAGATTGCTTAGGGCTGACAAGATAAAGGTCAACTGTGCAGGCAAAGAGATTTAATCTAAAACAAGTGTAATTTATCTTGGTGTGTCCCTAGATCAATCCCTTACTGGAGACCTGATTGCTGCTAAAATTATTTATAAAATGGCAAACAAATTGAAATTGTTATATCGTAACACTAGATATTTTAACAAAGTTAAGAAACTGCTTGTCTCAACCTTGATTCAGTGTCATTTTGATTATGCCTGCTCTGCTAGTGGGCTATCACAAAAAATTGAAAAATAGTTAATGTTATCAGGTATATGCTGAATGTCCCCCCCTAGGACCCACATAGGGGTACAGGAGTTCTGGGAGGTGGGCTTGTTGCCTTTGGAGTCCAGAGTGGACCAACTTAAGCTTAATCATATGTTTGACATCTTAAATGATCGTGCCCCAGGTTATATGAAAAACCACATTGATATGGTCCCGTATAGCTCAGTTGGTAGAGCATGACGCTTGCAACGCCAGGGTTGTGGGTTCGATTCCAACAGGGGGCCAGTATGAAAAAAAAATTATGCACTCACTAACTGTATGTCGCTCTGGATAAGAGCGTCTGCTAAATGACTAAAATGTAAATGTAAAATATAGTCTATAACTAACACAGTTACAATACCAGAGCAGGTGTTATGTCTTGTAAAATCCCAAGAGTAAACAGTATTGCGAGGAGCACATTTTTCTATACAGGCATTTGTCTATGGAATAGCCTCCCCTTGGAGATCAAGCAAAGAAAAAGTAGAAATAGCTTTAAAAAGCAGGCAAAGGTTTTCATTTGGACAAGGTTGTCTGAGTAAGAGAAACCACTCAACTGCCCTTTGTGCCCCCTACTGCCAGTCAGGTGTATTTATTTGAATGATAGGTATGATGTGCAATGAACTGTTTTAATGTGAAATTAATATGGTTGATTTTTAAGGTTATGGAAAAGTGCAGTGAATAGTGCCACTTTCTAGGATGTCAATATAAATTAATGTACTTATGGTTGTTTGTAATTTTGTCTTGTCTTTTAATTATTATATGTTTTATTGTTTTTACCATCGAGGACCACTTTGAAACAAGCGTTTTAATTATTACTTTCAAGTGATATCCTCTGGGTTCACATTGTACATTTTGTTGAATATGTCTGTTGCCCAAAATAAATTCAATAAGGCATATATGACCATTTATTAAATCAATGCAAACATTTATTCATTTTATGTTTAAACAAAAATATTTATGTTAAATAATATGTTTTCCATCTATTGTTTCACTGAAACAAAATAGAAAAGCAAGCACTGTTGTTCTGGCTATATTAGTCAGCAACTAGGTACTGTGTCAGTCTTAGTCCCAGTTTCAGCTTTGTACTGACAGGTTTGTCTTCAGATCTCACATAATGTGATGCCACTGAGGTTTTGCTGTGTTCTGTTGGCCCACACTTATTGACACAGGAAGGAGTTAGGCCTGAACCAAGACCAAGCACAGAGTTGGGTCCAGTGTAAGTCAGTATCCCTCATCAGCCCAGGTGATCTCGTATTTAGGGTAGCGCACCTTCAGTTTCTCTGTGGAAACAGCGTGATTTGCTTTACCAAAGCCCTGCAAAGAACAAGAAGGCATTGAGAGGGTAACTTGGCTGCTAGGAAATAACAAAACTTAAGAGATGCAATACCAGTCATACAATATTAGAAAAAGTATCAAAATGTTGGTATGTAATATGTGGATGAATTGTTATAGTCACAAATGTACTTGAAGACCCAATCAAAAGGCGTACATGAGTTCCACTGAAATAACAACACTATTCTGCATTCTCTTACCATGGAGTAGCCATAGATGTGGATCTTCTTTGACTGGCAGTCATGTTTAATCCTTCCTCCTCCAATACATTCACATTCCAGGTGCCCTCCTTTCTCAAGCTCCTCTGCTACCTTGTCATAGATATCCGCTGCAGTGACAAAAAAACAAAATCAGTACTGTATTCAAAGTTTCACAAGAAGTCTCTTGAAAATACTCTCAAAATACAACATATTTCAAAAGCACTGTGATGTGCAAAATAAACTAGTCAAATGGTTTAACTTTTTTGCTGTAGAGTGTGGGCAAACCAATACGGGCTGACTGACTTCTCTCGGGCATTTTTCAGTGACAACGGCCCCACCTACTGGTTCGTAAGCATCAGTACAGTATGAGTAGCTAGTAGGCTAAATAGAATTGGACAGTAACAACATGGACTTTAATCATACATCAGCTAGCCAACACTGAAAGACAAAAGCATGATCAATATTGGTCCTCTTACCATGATATTCGGCCCAGGCATATCCACGTACAATATCTACGCTCGAGTCGTCGCCATCTTCTTTAGTGTGTACTCGAATGAGAACGTATTTGAACACACCAGTCGGGTCAATTTCTGCCTCTGGAATGTTCGCTATGAGAGCAGCAGCCTTCGTTTGAGTACACATTTTTTCACGAAATGCAACGTAGTTAGCTATCTCGCACAGCTGATAATTCTTCAATTTGAAATAGTAGACAATTCTTTATGTGATGATCAATGTGGACAGTTACGGTAAATGGTCCGTAGCAGACTTCCGGAAATAAAAAGGGGGATGGTATGATGGTACTTGTAGTTTTAGTGAGTTGTAGTCAATATGACGTATGGAAATCATGAATACAAACATACCTTCTGCAAAGACCACACGTACAAAACATAGTTGATTTTTTTTGTTATCAGAATACAAAATACAAAATTACATTTACATTTACGTCATTTAGCAGACGCTCTTATCCAGAGCGACTTACAGTTAGTGCATACATTATTTAATTTTTTCATACTGGCCCCCCTGTGGGAATCGAACCCACAACCCTGGCGTTGCAAACACCATGCTCTACCAACTGAGCTACCTCCCTGCCGGCCAGTCCCTCCCCTACCCTGGACGACGCTGGGCCAATTGTGCGCCGCCCCATTGGTCTCCCGGTTGCGGCCGGCTACGACAGAGCCTGGATAAAATGAATATAAAGCACAAACAAATTAGACTTAAATGTTGGGTAACATGTTGTGAGAGGGATGTTGAACATTAATTATAGCCTACAATGCATACTTATACAAAAAAAAAACTGTTTGTTAAAGAATAAATAAAAAAAGGATATAAAATGTGTTGACAGCTGGAGAAAACTCAATTGTTATATCTCAGTGTAAAGATGATCAACACTTTATACAACATTCTATCTTCTTCATGATACAGTTATCTACGCACTCTTGGGTCCAGGATTGCACCACCAGCACCCTTACAAAGAGTTTACCGTCTTTCCTCCAAAAAAGTGAAAGCAGGTCTCAATGGAAGTCCCTTATGATGATTAGCTGGCAGTGTCACTGCTTCCTTTCTTCTTCCCGCAGCAGGCTTGGAGGGAAACATACATCAGGGCGGTGGCGGGGAGGAGTACGAAGAGGAAGAGCAGAGCAGCCCAGGCTCCAGGTTTTAGGCCCTTCCTCAGGCCCACACTCTCCCCCGGCAGCAGACTGCTCTGACTGAGCATGTAGCCCAGGGCCCAGCCCACAGATGCATCCCCTGCCTGGTGACACCACAAACACACACCTCAGTCAGCCTGGGTACACTCAGAGCATTCTCTAGTTAAGGACATTCAGAGGTTAATGCTTCAATGGAGAGGCTGCAGTCTCAAAAATGGTGCTTGACAAACACTGATATCATAGAGTTTCTAAACCCAGAGACACAACATCGTGAGACATCCGGGGACTCTTGCAAAACAGACCAAGCAGACCAGGCTGGGGTCTGGGGGGTCTGGGGTTTGAGAACTTCTTCCTGAAGTTGTTAATCTAGGCGCTACCGAGATTCGAGCCAATGTCTTAAGGAGTTGAATATTTTATTACTCCAACCTTGTGAAAGTGACAAACTGACACGTTTTCATGTTTGTCAAAAATAACTTTATATCGAAGGAGTGCCTTTGATTTGACGGCCTGCACATGCGCAGTTCGGCGGGAGACGACCGTTAGACCTGTTCCTACGCATTAGCTTAGCTAGCCAACATCGCCTACAAGTGTGATCAGGGATTTCTATTGTAGAAGCAGTTTCTGCCTATCTTCATACGTTAATGTCTTTGCTGATATGACTTTGTGTAATGTCAAGGATTATGCTGGTATCTGGAGCAAAAGAAGGAGATAGAGAAAAAAAACATATTCCCATCAAGCAAGCTCACCTTTTTCTGGAAGGAAATGTGGGGAAATGAGATCTCATCAAAGCCATAGCCTCTTGTGAAGAGCACTTTGGTGAACACAGAGGCAGCACAGAAGTCCTGCAGACGAGGCTCCTGATCTGGGGCCAGCACCAACAGCTGAAACAGGATATAAAAATGGGGATGACGTAGCCTTGAAATACATGAAACACATACAAAACCATCATCCATTGAGACACACATGCAAACAGAGACAGTTTCTCTCACATGCATGGATGCTCTCTTCCCTTCACACACAAATGTTCTCGCGCTCTCTCTCTCTCTCACACACACACACACACACACACACACACACACACACACACACACACACACACACACACAAACGGCTACTGACCTCATTGATGCTCATGTTACAGACAGAATGGGCTGCCTCTTCCAGTTGGGCAGGGGTGGTGACAGGAATTCCTGTAGTAGTCTGTAGGAACTGGTGAATGTAGAAGAAGGCAGAGAACGCCTGATGGACAAATGGACAGAGAGAGAGAAAAAAAGATGAGATATGATTAGGGTCGGAGCTGGAGTTAGGGTTAGGGCTGGAGCTAGGGTTAAGGTTGGTGCTGGAGCTGGAGCTAGGGTTGGGTTTAAGGTTGGTGCTGGAGCTAGGTTTAAGGTTGGTGCTGGAGCTGGAGCTAGGGTTGGGGTTAAGGTTGATGCTGGAGCTAGGGTTAAGGTTAAGGTTGGTGCTGGAGCTGGAGCTGGAGCTAGGGTTGTGGTTAAGGTTGATGCTGGAGCTAGGGTTGGGGTCACAGGAGGTTGGTGTCACCTTAATTGGGGAGGACAGGCTCTTGGTAATGGCTGGAGTGGAATTGGTGGAATGGTTTCAAATACATCAAACACATGGTTTCCATTTGTTTGATGCCATTCCATTTACTCCGTTCCAGCTATTATTATGAGCTGTCTTCCCCTCAGCAGCCTCCACTGGTTGGGGTTAGGGTTGCTGCTGGAGCTGGAGCTGGAGCTAGGGTTGGGGCTGGAGCTAGGATTAGAGCTAGGGTTAGGTTTGTGGTTGATGCTAATATTAGGTTTATACCGGGATGTGGGCATGAAGCTAGGGTTGGGGTAAAGGTTAAGTTTGTGGTTGTGGTTGAGGCTAGGATAAGGGTTGAACCCAGATGTGGACATGAAGCTAGGGTTAGAGTTGTGGTTAGGGTTGTGATTGAGGCTAGTGTTAGGGTTGATTTAACCACTGTAAACTGTAAACTGTCTCTCACCATGAAGCTGCCGCTGACATTGGGCTGGAACACCTTGTCAAAGGAGCACTGGGAGAAGGGGCAGCTCTGGAAGGAGAAGATCTCAGTCATGTTGCCCAGGCAGTGATCATAGTCGCCAGTGCCCTTCACAGACAGGGTTGCCTGGGGATTGTAGCCATAGCTGGGTGTCTGGGCCACCGTGCAGGGAGAGTCAAACAATGTCCCCACCTTCATGGTGACGCTGTAGCCTGCAGGGAAGCACGGGTGGGCCACTGTCCCTGTGTAACCCTGAGCCTGAGAGAAAGAGAGAGAGAGGGTGAGGGAGAGGGATTGAGTGAGCGTGAGATACATTATTACAGTAACTTGACACATTCCTATAACAAGTAGAGAGCAAGCTACAGGCATGTAGTACTATGGTACTGAGTGCCAAGATCTATTGTTGGAATTAACGCCTGGGATGACTTTCAAATACATATGGTGAACTAAATCTGTGATAGAAAACAATGATTTAAAAACAATCAGTGGGTGATATGTTAGTGAGTGGGTTTCCAATGATTAATAACAAAGTTTCTTTATTTCAATGGTCCTGATATACACTATGATATTATCTTGTAACAGGCACCAAGAGGTTTTCCTGAAAATGTGACATGACTGGGAAAGACTTCGGGCCCTTGCTGTACTGTATAAGGTTGTTCTTATGTTGTTGTGGCCAAATATAATGTTTCCTACCTTCACCAGGTGAGCCAGTAGGCGTTTGAGGACCTGGTCTCGTCCGTAGCACAGGAAGCTGTGTGTGTACAAGGAGTAGTCATGGCCATACAGACGTAGCTTCATCCTGTCCCTCTTGTCCTCCACCTCAGCCTTGGTCACAAAGGTGATCTGGGTGGACGCCCCGCCAAAGTCCAGCGCCCCCACTGTCTGTCTGCCCGAGCTCAGCCAACGGCCCACAAAGCCATACTACAGTGGGCACACAGGGATAAACAAAGTAACAGGAGAGGTATGTGGGTAGTTTGTCTCCTCAGCAGATGCAGTCCTCTATGTATGTTCTCTGTGTTGTAATGACCACTAGAGGTCCTCAGGTAGCCATCTAGTCAGGCAGCCTTAGTGGAAATCTGTCATAATGGTAGCCATAATCTCTTGTTTTTCAATCTTCATATACATTTCCAAAGAATGCCTACAAAAGCTTGGAATCAAACTAACACAGGATACTTATGTTTTTAAGTGCTTATGGTTGCGTGCAAAGAAAATAATAAGCAGGGATCGATTACAACCACCATAGATAGCAATGTTAATGCAGAATCTGTATTTACAAACAACTGTACACACTAGTTTGTTCCAAAACTTTTTTGCCCCGCAACCTCATTTTGATATAAAAATATGTGTGACCCCACCATGTAAAAAGAGTGATGTAATCAACGGCCAATGTTTCCTTATTTAATTGGGGCTATGACAGTCTATTACAAATTAGTCTGACAGTACTTCAATCTAAAGGAAGTATGGTTAGAAGTGACTGAAATGCATCAGAAAGGTATTTGGAAGTTCAGAAGATCATCAGTCAATAATTTTGTTGATCTTCTGTGTATAAAAGAACATCATTACTAACCAGGTTTCCATTCAACCTTTTTATGCCAGTAAAGTACATGTTGGATAAAAAATGTAATGACAGGCTTGATGGAAACAGAACATTCGTCGGTAAACTTTATATATGTGGACAAAACAAAAGGTGGGATCTTTTTGTGTCTGTAAAATGAATCATGCAAGAAATGTCGGTGGAAACTATTTTATGCGCAAATATTGATTTAATAACCATCATATCGAAGTAAATTTGGAGTCACACGATGACATGTGTGGTCCTCCCACTACGACTCGTCGGAAAAGCATGCAGTTTACTAGGCTACAGATTAAATAAGTTATGATGAACTTCACAGGGTGGTGAAAGTGCAAGGTGATGAGCTTGATGTTCCTTTCCAATAAATATAGAGGGTCTAATTCTGGTGACATGCTCATCAATGCTTGGCTGCAGTGATCACTACGTCATCACCCACAGCCTTTTATCCGCAACAAGTCAATTTGATGGAAACACATCTTTGGTGGGAAAATGCACATATTATTTACATGCAGATTTTTGAATATTCGCATGAAAATCTGTCGCCAATTGGATGGAAACCTAGCTAATGATTACGTTATTTTCCCCCCAATCTGATTTAGTGCCTGGTCTTGTCCACTCCGTTCTAAAGAGTCCTGCGTGGCTTGTGAGCATTCCTGAGTTTTATCTTTCAGTGATGGGGTACTAATAATGTTTTTGCTTAAACCATTCAAAAGATAGAGACACATTTATAGGAAGAAAACAGAAACCACTCAGTTTATGACAACTGCATCTAACGGCTATCAGAGGTTACTGACGTAACCCCGGTTCTATGAACCGAGAGCAATGTTTTTATTTTTATTTTAGTGTTTCTCTTGTGACCCCATTTTAAAATCAGGTGAAAGGTGAAAGTTGGGCCATAGTACCTTGATGAAGTTCTCCAAGAGATAGTTGACAGTGACCCAGCCATACGCTCCCTCGTCCTGGCCTCTTAAGATGGCTGCCCCCTGGTAGTTAAATGGATAGGACTGGATTTTATGACCCACTTCCTGTAAAACCTGGGCTGACTGGACAGGGCTGGAGATACTGTTGACAAAGGGAAATGTACTACTTCAGATATTGTAGATTCAGGATCAACATGGGGTATGAAATTAAAAACATTACTCAGCAAGACAATAATACCCTATCTACCAGAAAGATGCACATCTCTCAATCTTGTTGTTGACTCATTTCTTATTAGATATATCAGAACCACAACATGACTCACATTTTACCCTGCTATAACACAAATAGAAGGAGAAATGTCCATATTTGCATGGGTTAGAAACTCTTATTGTGCACAAGCCACATGCTTGTGCACTCACACTCGTTAACACACACACACATATACATAAACACACTATAACTCACTTGAGGAGCCTCATGCCGGCGGTGGCTCCAAGGTAGACAGGTGTGAGGTGGTGCCTGGCTCTGGGGATGTCCTGCATGGCCTGGTCCAGACAAGCCTGAAGGCTTCTCCCTGCCGCTCCCTGCTGTCCCACGTAGCTAGAGATTCCTCCACCTGCATGGCGGGAACATGATACATTACTGTATGTAATATGTAATACAGTCAGACCACACACTATCACAATTTTAATCATTACATCCACTTATTTGGTGGTCTAGTCATTGGAGCTTATGGGGCCTGGAGTCAGAAATAACTCCTGGTGTATTTGCAAATACTTCACATTAATGAAAGCAGCCAACAACTGTGATCTATACGAACACGCAAGTCATGTAGGCAGGACAGGACTGGAAAACCACACAGCACACTGAGTCACTGCAGAACTACTGACAGATCCACCGTTGCTAGGCATTCATGTTTTTCTGCTTCTTTATGTCTAGCCTTGTGTGACGAGTTACCAGAAAGGCGCGCACACAGCACACAATGGGAACAACTCTTTGCCAACTGGAGTGCCAAAAAAGTTCCACACCATAAAAAAAAAAACCCAACAAAAGTATAATTGAGATTTTAAGGGTTAAGGCTTTGGGTAACACACTATTTTACAATCATTTTCGATATTGTATCTGCCTGCTATTTACAAAAACAATTGATGTAAATCTGTACTTTCTGGTGCTTACTTCAAATAATTGGTTACTAACAAACGGTAATAGTGCTTGTTTTAATAAGTCTCAAGTAATTTATATGTAAACACTAGGTAAATAGCAGACATACACCTGGAAGAATCCTTCCATTGGGACACTCTTACCCTTGGGATGGCATTCACTGTGCTGAGTGACCACACCCGTGCCATTCTGCTTGTCTGCCGGCCACTTGTAGATGTACATGGCTGTGTGGGAGGAGCCTGCGTCCAGGACTATCCCATACTTTAAACAGAGGGTTGGAGAGAACAGAGGAGAGGGAGGTTCAAGACAGAGGAACAAATATTGAGAAAAATTGCTGATTCAGAATAACGTCCAAGGAAAGACAACCTAATTGGGTCTACTCTACTCCAAACCATAAAAGGCTACAAATGATCAGGTGTTTGAAACCCATATATGCCAAGACATTTAATAGGGATAGAGGCATCTGGAAGACATTTAACTAGATTGACTATAAACGTCTTCTTTCAAATGGCGGCCTCTGGCTTTTATGACGTGTATACAGTGCCTTCGGAAAGTATTCAGACCCCTTGACTTTTTCCACATTATGTTACATTACAGCCTTATTATAAAATTGATTAAATAAATAAAAATCATCAATCTACACACAATACCCCACAATGACAAAGCGAAAACAGGTTTTTTAAAATCTTTGCACAAATAAAAAACAGAAATACCTTATTTACATAAGTATTCAGACCCTTTGTTATGAGACTCGAAATTGAGTTCAGGTGCATCCTGTTTCCATTGATCATCCATGAGATGTTTCTACAACTTGATTGGAGTCCACCTGTGGTAAATTCAATTGATTGGACATGATTTGGAAAGGCACACACCTGTCTATATAAGGTCCAACAGTTGACAGTGCAGGTCAGAGCACAGATCTGGGGAAGGGTGGTCCTCTGTAGCTCAGCTGGTAGAGCACGGCGCTTGTAACGCCAAGGTAGTGGGTTCGATCCCCGGGACCACCCATACAAAAAAAAATTATGCACGCATGACTGTAAGTCGCTTTGGATAAAAGCGTCTGCTAAATGGCATATTATTATTATTATTACCAAACATTTCTGCAGCATTGAAGGTCCCCAAGAACACAGTGGCCTCCATCATTCTTAAATGGAAGAAGTTTGGAACCCCCAAGACTCTTCCTAGAGCTGGCCACTGTGTTCCTGGGGACCAGACTGAGAAATCGGGGGAGAAGGGCCTTGGTCAGGGAGGTGACCAAGAACCCAATGGTCACTCTGACAGAGCTCTAGTGTTCCTCTGTGGAGATGGGATAATCTTTCAGAAGGACAACCATCTCTGCAGCACTCCACCAATCAGGCCTTTATGGTAGAGTGGCCAGACGGAAGCCACTCCTCAGTAAAAGGCACATGACAGCCCGCTTGGAGTTTGCCAAAAGGCACCTTAAGACTCTCAGACAATGAGAAACAAGATTCTCTGGTCTGATGAAACCAAGATTGAACTCTTTGACCTGAATGCCAAGCATCACGTCTGGAGGAAACCTGGCACCATCCCTAGGGTGAAGCATGGTGGTGGCAGCATCATGCTGTGGGGATGTTTTTCAGTGGCAGGGACTGGGAGACTAGTCAGGATTGAGGGAAAGATGAACGGAGCAAAGTACAGAGAGATCCTTGATGAAAACCTGCTCCAGAGTGCTCAGGACCTCAGACTGGGGCGAAGGTTCACCTTCCAACAGGACAACGACCCTAAGCACACAGCCAAGACAACGCAGGAGTGGCTTCAGGACAAGTCTCTGAATGTCCTTGAGTGGCCCAGCCAGCGCCCGGACTTGAACCCGATCAAACATCTCTGGAGAGACCTGAAAATAGCTGTGCAGCGACGCTCACCATCCAACCTGATAGAGCTTGAGAGGATCTGCAGAGAAGAATGGGAGAAACTCCCCAAATACAGGTGTGCCAAGCTTGTAGTGTCATACCCAAGAAGACGAGGCTGTAATCGCTGCCAAAGATGCTTCAACAATGTACTGAGTAAAGGGTCTGAATAGATATGTAAATGTATATTTCAGTTTTTTATTTTGAATAAATATGCAAACATTTCTAAAAACCTGTTTTTGCTTTGTCATTATGGGGTATTGTGTGTAGATTGATGAGGGGGAAAAACAATTTAATGGATTTTAGAAAAAGGCTGTAACGTAACAAAATGTGGAAAAAGTCAAGGGGTCTGAATAGTTTCCGAATGCACTGTATATTTTGGCAGCAAGAATGTTGCTTACATGTTTACTTCAAGGTAAGATAGATGGAATGTTGTGGAGGAAGTGAGAGAGGATTAGGGAATTAATCAGGAGAAGCAAGAGGCCGGGTCTGAGAACAACCCATGTTTGCAGATCATGAAGGAACTGTTTGGAGTGTGTAAACTCCAATCCTGATTGCGCTATGAATCATCAACTCTAAACATCCTCTTTTGGACAACATAGTTCAATTTTAATTGCTCTCTTTTTCTGACAAGGCTGTTGAAACTTGTTTATTTCGCTGACTGTGTTTGGCGTCTGACTGGTTTATGATATGTGTTTAATGCTGCATGACTATTTTGGCCGTAATATAAAGTGGCCTCATGCAGGATGTTGGCTCAAGGTTAATAACAGAAGATAACATCTTAGCAAGTTATTGTTGCCTTTCTCATTTGAACATTTACACACAATCCATCATGTTTAGAGTTGATGATTCATAGCACAATTAAGATTGGAGCTTACACACTCCAAACAGTTCCTTCATGATCTGCAAACATGGGTTGTTCTCAGACCAGACAAACATGGATTGTTCTCAGACCAGACAAACATGGGTTGTTCTCAGACCAGACAAACATGGGTGGTTTTCAGACCAGAAGCCTCCTGTTTTTGTGACAGCGTGCACACACACACACACACAATGCCTACCCATATGGCTAGAATCATTTAACTTAATCTACATTCTTTCGACTTCAATCCCCCCTTCAATCAATCTTTCCCTTCTGCTGTCTTTGTATGCTTTGCCTCATGCTAAATGTGTATGTGTGTTTACATGGTAATATACAGTCATTTCCATAATTATTGGCACCCTTGACAAAGCCGAACAAAAAATACTGTATAAAATAAGAAATACAAATACTGAGCTACAGTGAGGTCCAAAGGTAGTAACAGATTATTATTTTTTGGCTCTGTACTCCGGCACGTTGAGGACGAGGTTCAAGTGCAGACTGACAGCTTTAATTTGAGGGTATTTTCGTCAATATCGGGTGAACTGTTTAGAAATCACAGCACTTTCTGTACATAGTAGGGAACCAAAAGTATTTGGACACATTCACTTATATGTGTATTAAAGTAGTCAAAAGTTTAGTATTTGGTCCCATATTCCTAGCACCCAATGACTACATCAAGCTTGTGACTCTACAAACTTGTTGAAAGCATTTGCAGTTTATTTTGGTTGTGTATCAGATTATTTTGTGCCCAATAGAAATGAATGGAAAATAATGTATTGCGTAATTTTGGAGTCACTTTTATTGTAAATAAGAATATAATATTTCTAAACACTATTTCTATGTCATCCAACAATAATAAACGCCTGGAGTTTGCTAAACATCATTGGCACTTGGATTGGAACTGTTGCTATGGTCAGATTACATGAAAATAGAGCTCTTTGGCCACACACACCAGCGGTAGGTTTTGCGTCGAAAGAAAGAATGATATGCAGAAAAGAAACCCATACCTACTGTAAAATATGGTGGTGGATCTTTGATGTTATAGACGGGTTAGCTGACAAATGGTTCAGCTAGTTTTATCTTGTTCTTGATACCATGTTTTGTTTTGAGGTGTTTTGACTAATGTCATGTTAATGCTAATATGGATAAAATTCACTAGCTAGCTAACCAACAACTGTAACTATGTATTTGAGAGACAACGAGTGCTCATTGTGCAAATGTACAGTTGAAGTCGGAAGTTTACATACACACCTTAGCCAAATACATTTAAACTCAGTTTTTCACAATTCCTGACATTTAATCCTAGTAAAAATTCCCTCTTTTAGGTCAGTTAGGATCACCACTTTATTTTAAGAATGTGAAATGTCAGAATAATAGTAAAGATAATGATTTATTTCATCACATTCCCAGTGGGTCAGAAGTTTACATACACTCAATTAGTATTTGGTAGCATTGCCTTTAAATTGTTTAACTTGGGTCAAACCTTTCGGGTAGCCTTCCACAAGCTTCCCACAATAAGTTGGGTGAATTTTGGCCCATTCCTCCTGACAGAGCTGGTGTAACTGAGTCAGGTTTGTAGGCCTCCTTGCTCGCACACGCTTTTTTAGTTCTGCCCACACATTTTCTATAGGATTGAGGTCAGGGCTTTGTGATGGCCACTCCAATACCTTGACTTTGTTGTCCTTAAGCCATTTTGCCGCAACTTTGGAAATATGCTTGGGGTCATTGTCCATTTGGAAGATCCATTTGCGACCAAGCTTTAACTTCCTGACTGATGTCTTGAGATGTTGCTTCAATATATCCACATAATTTTCCTTCCTCATGATGCCATCTATTTTGCACCAGTCCCTCCTGCAGCAAAGCACCCCCACAGCATGATGCTGCCACCCCCATGCTTCACGGTTGGGATGGTGTTCTTCGGCTTGCAAGCAACCCCCTTTTTCCTCCAAACATAACAATGGTCATTATGGCCAAACAGTTCTATTTTTGTTTTATCAGACCAGAGGACATTTCTCCAAAAAGTACGATCTTTATCCCCATGTGCAGTTGCAAACTGTAGTCTAGCTTTTTTATACCGGTTTTGGAGCAGTGGCTTCTTCCTTTCTGAGCGGCCTTTCAGGTTATGTCGATATAGGACTTGTTTTACTGTGGATATAGATACTTGTTTCCTCCAAGCATCTTCACAAGGTCCTTTGCTGTTGTTCTGGGATTGATTTGCACTTTTCGCACCAAAGTACGTTAATGTCTAGGAGACAGAACGCGTCTCCTTCCTGAGCGCTATGATGGCTGCGCTGTCCCATTGTGTTTATACTAGCGTACTATTGTTTGTACAGATGAACGTGGTTCCTTCAGGCATTTGGAAATAGCTCCCAAGGATGAACCAGACTTGTGGAGGTCTACAATTGTTTTTCTGAGGTCTTGGCTGATTTCTTTTGATTTTCCCATGATGTCAAGCAAAGAGGCACTGAGGTCGAAGGTAGTCCTTGAAATACATCCACAGGTACACCTCCAATTGACTCAAATGATGTCAATTAGCCTATCAGAAGCTTCTAAAGCCATGACATCATTTTCTGGAATTTTCCAAGCTGTTTAAAGGCAGTCAA